CAGCTTTCCTGGCACGCTTTAGAGTGCCAGCAGTCCCTTGTAAGGGGTGATTGATCCTGGTTTGGTGGCAAGGCTGCCCTGGAGAGAGGGAAACATTGCTTGAGAGCTCATTAGTGCTGTCCAGCACATAATTTGCGGCAGGCATCGCCCTTTCCTCACACACTGGTGTGCAGAGGTGCTTGTCCAGGACAGGACGTCCAGTTATTGAGGTGTCAGTGTTATTGTTGGTGATGATAAAATGCCTGTAGGGGAGGTGACTGTAGCAGTGACTCAGACCCTGCTGTTACAGTTTTTGTGCTGTAAAAAGGCAGGACAAGAGCCCCTGTGTAACTCCTGCTCACCAGTGGGGTTGGGGAATTCCCTCGTGGGTTGGTTTATAAAGCATTAAGTCCTCCAATCCTTACAGCACTTGGATTTCTCCTGGTTATTTGTGTGCACCTGTAATCAGTGTAAATCTCAGGGTCTGTTTTCCAAACACAAAAGGTCACTGTTGTGTCTCCCATCTGTGCCTATCCCTGGACCTTGCTCATTTGAACTCTGTTGTTCGCTGGTGGTGGGATCATCTCAACTTTCCTGGGGTGTTTGGGAAGGGCACTCAGGGTTGCAAGTGAAACACACCCACTGCCTCTGGAAGGACTGGAAAATCTCCCTGGCTCCTGGTGAGGAGCTGCTGAAATGGCTGAGGATTTTACTGATTTCTATAGTGACTGTTGCCTTGGCAGCAAAGCTTAGAGAGTAAAAGGAAGGCGTGATTTGATTTGGGAGGACTTTGGTTCTCTTCAGTCGAGTTTCAAAGTGTTTAAGGAGGAGTTTGGAGGTGGGCAGACTGGTTTTGGGGGTCTTTTTTTTGCTGCTGAATGTGTTTTTCTCTTATCAGTGTTAATTGCAAGACTTAATGCTTTTTGCTTGCAAGAACACCCCAAACCTGGGTCTTGTTCTCAGCCCCTTCCAGGGCCTAAAGGGGCTCCAGGAGGGCTGGAGAGGGGCTGGGACAAGGGATGGAGAGACAGGACAAAGGGGAATGGCTTCCCAGTGCCAGAGGGCAGGGATAGATGGGATACTGGGTAAGAATTGTTCCCTGTGAGGGTGGGGAGGCCCTGCACAGGTTGCCCAGAGAAACTGTGGCTGCCCCTGGATCCCTGGGAGTGTCCAAGGCCAGGTTGGAGGGACTTGGAGCAACCTGGGCTAGTGGGAGGTGTCCCTGCCCATGGCAGAGGGGTGGAACAAGATGATGTCTAAGGTCCCTTCCAACCCAAACCATTCCATGATTCTAAGTGTGGAGGTGTAACCAGCTGATGACTTTGTGGCTCATTATCTCACCCTTTAACCAATGAGTTGGTCGCTCCCACACTCAGCCCTTGTGCCCAACAGCACCTCTGCAAAGCAGTGCAAAAGAGAACAGGTCTTCCAAGGTTGTGTATAGTTAGTGCCCTCTCAAATCCTTGTTCCAGCTGCCGTGGTCACGGGGTTAGAACCACAGACGTGCAGATTGAAGTGGTGGTGGCAATTACTCCTGGTGGTTTGAGTTAGCACTTGAGTGTTTGCTGGGAACAGGGGGGGGAAAAGGTCATGTAAACAGGAGGAGGTGGGGCCTGGAGCCCTTGATGAGGTTGTTTCATCCTGCTGGGTCTTGTGCCGGGTATTTTGAGATACCGGTTTTACACGGCATCATTATCATAGTGCAGTTGGCATTATTGTGGTAATCACATTGTTATTTATAATTCCTTAATGAAGCAGCTCTGCTGCAGATGGAGGGAGTGTTTCAGTGACCTGGCCCAGCTTAAAGAGCTCATGTCAGAGCTGGGGAGGCTTGTGTGTGCCCATCCTTGTAGGATGGAGCTGAGCCCGTGGATGTGGCCTGGCAGCAGCCGATGCTGGTCCTCACCTTTTGTGGAGAGGATGAGACCTTTTGTGGCAACAGGGGGGTCAGTGAGGGTTGTTAGTCTCCTGTACAGTTTCTGCAAACCTTACCTGATCAAGCTGTCACAGATACACCATAGGGAACAAGGAATTTTTAATGTGACAAGCTGGAAGGTGTTCGTAAAGAAGCTTTTTCGCCTGTTCCTCCTCCATTAGACAGGCTGTGAAACAGAGGCTTGAGTGGTAGGTGATGTTAGAAATTCTAGTTGGTTTTCCTCATTTTAACTCTCAATGAAAACAACTCCGTGGCCTGTGTCTGTGTATTGTCTTTCCTCTGAGCCTTCCTCCCGTGAGTATCAGTTACTCTGCTTTTACAAAAGGTGCTTGATAGTGATTTACACGCTGGTGGTGTGAGAGCAGCGGGCTGGGATTGCACCTGGCTCGTGCTCCCAGAAATGTCAGCCCTGAGGACTGAAATTTTTGCTCAGTAGCTCCTTGGTGAACCCCTCACCATCCTCTTCCATCCATCCAGCACGAGGTGGGCTTGGATGTCTGTGCCTCTGCCTGTGTGATGGGATTTCTTGTTTTTAAGACTCTTAGGAGATAGATTTATGTTTCATAATCCATGAAGTTACAGAAGTTGGAGTCAAGCAGTCTTTATTCTTTGTGTGGTACCTAAAATAGCATCGCTGGTGGTGAGTTTAAAGCACAGTCCCCAAGTGCCACATCCACACATCTTTTAATGCCACCAGGGCTGGTGACACCACCAGGGCTGGACAAGCCTTTCAGTGAAGACATTTTTCCTACTGTCCAGTCCAAACCTTTCCTGCCTGTTGAGATGTAGTTTGAAGGTTGGCTACAGGCTCCTAAGCAGTGATGAATGGAGCCCTTGGCCCTGTATCTTTGGGATTGTGAGTCCTTAAGAATGTCGTCAGGGAGTGGGCAGAAAGCCGGTTTGTTGGGAGGATAATGGTTCAGGGCTTGCCTGGAAACTGGGATTCAGTCACTCCAGTGTTTGAAGTTGAAAAGGTTTAATGTTGCCCCCCCTCGTGGTGTACACAGGGTGCTCTGACAGCCCAAGCCAGGCTGGGTTTGTAACACAGAACTTGGAGAGGCAGCGGTGGAGCCGTGGAACAGCATGAGAAACTGAGGCCCTGCTGCAGACTAGGAGCCCAGGTGTTGTAACAGCATTAAAAAATAAATAACTTAGGTTTTAACAGCATAGTAAGGCATCATCCTTGGAAACAAGAAGCCTGTGGAGAAGTCTGTTAGGATTAGTTGGGAATTTTTGTGCCCTGGGATACCTCAAGTACAGTGAGCACACAGAGATGGGCACAGTGGAGAGCTGAGCTGCTCTCCTTCAGTGCCAGCCTTGTAGGAGCTTCTAATGTGGGTTACCATGCATAATTCAGTCCTATTTCCATGTTCAGAGCTCTGTAACTAAATACTGATTTGCTAAACACAACTTGAATAATGAAGCAATCTGTGGCTGAAAGCCTTCTTGGTACTGAGGGGAAAAAAGGAAAGAAAATAGAGCTGCATCTTCCCTTCTGTTTTAAAACAACACAGATATTCACAAGGTGGAAGAGTCATAGTCATCTCCATCCCTGGTTTGCTCCACGGATTTAAATATGTCCCAGCAAGGGAGAGGTGCCCTATTCAAAGTACTGCCAGTCCTTCCTCTAGAGCTCTTTTCTTTTCTCAACCATCATGGTTCATTCCAGGGAAAAACAGATTGAAAACTGCACCCTGTGTTTCCTGCTGAGTTCAGAGGCAACAGGTCAAAAAACACATTGGTGTGCAGTGTGGTCATGTTTGTACAGGAGTAAAGCTCTGTATCTGTTCTGAACCACCTCACCTCCAATCTTGCCAGTAGAGTAAATTATTTTGGTTTTTTCAGTCGCAGCTTTGCTCCCTGCAATGAAACACAAACACTTGGTAGCCTGTAAGAGGCTAAAAATATTCTTGAAGCTGATAAAGGCTCGATGTGACTTTTCAAAATACATTTTTTTTCCCCATGCTGTTACTTTCTTTCTCACACGTGGTCTGTGGGATGGCAGGTTGGAGACAGGGGGTTCACTGGTCTCTTCTCTTTGCTCTGGGGAGGACCAGTTTTTGTTGGTTGGTTGAATAAATGTCTCAGACGTGGGGGTTTGCTGGTGGTGGTCACTGCCTCTTTTACTGCTTGTGCCTCAAAAATTCAGGAAGTAACATCTGTTTTCCTGTACCTTTTGTATTGGAAGTGACCAGCTTTTCTAAGCTATTTTTGTAATTCACTGGGTGCAGAAGTTTCTTACCTAGTTCGTCTTTTCTTTTAAAGTTTTATTTTCCTCCTGGTTCCTTTTTTTAGCTGATAGAAAACAATTCTTTGAATTGTAGCACTATACCATGGAAACAGTAAAATCTACCTCAAAGAGCTGCTAAACACCTGCAAACCTAAATGCTTTATTTTTGGGCTAATCTGTTTGGACACTGATTTTCCTGCTGGTGTTTTGGCCCAGAGAGTAGATCCTTGCATCATTTTTGGGTGTGGGTGACCTGGTACATTAGATGTGGCACCTGGAAGTGTTCAAGGCCAGGTTGGACAGGGCTTGGAGCAAACCTGGTCTAGGGGAAGGTGTCCCTGCCCATGGCAGTGGGTGGGAATGAGATGGTCTCTAAGGTCCTTTCCAGCCCAAACCATTCTGGGATTTTGTGGTTTTTGCCTTGCAGAACAAAAACCAGGCTTCATGTTCAATCACTAGTGGAAAACATTGCATTAAGGTACCGGTCTGTGAGGGGGAGAAAAGGCTTCTGACATGAATAATACTGAACATTCCCTCTGTAGATCCTTAAATCCATGAGTATGAGGATTGTAAGTTTGGATGCTGGTTATGGACCAGAACTGCATAGCAATGGAAAATGCAACAACTACAGAGCAGGCAGGAGTCTTCCCACAGCTGCAAAGTGGTGTTAAAGCTCTTAAGGAATCAGCAGCAAAGCTGGGAAGGACAGTGCTGTGTGTCCAAGGCTGGAGCTCAGATGAGTTGGTCTTTTCCATGCAGAATCGAGGTGTTCTTCTGCAGGAATTTTGTCTTTGTCCCTGCACTGCAAACAAAACGCTGTCCTAACGAGTGCTTTTGGGTGTTTCCCCTCCCCAGGAAGAAGAATGCCAACACGAATATGAAGTGAAGTGACTCCTATGCTCTGCCACGGCGCCCGGATGCTCCTGTGGGCGGGTTAGAGACGGGCACCCGCCTCCGGCCAGATCCTGGGACAGGATGAAGCCAAGGAGGAGCTTCCCAGCGCTCTGGAGTGGCAGTGAGCGCTGCCCCCTGTGAGATCCATGCCAGACCGTGCCCCGGCTGCCTGGCGAGATGAAAGAGGTGGTGCTGTGGTCGCCCGAGGAGGTGACCGGCTGGCTGATGGAGAATGCGGTGCCCGAGTACTGCGAGCCCCTGAGGGGCTTCACCGGGCGGGACCTCATCAACCTGACGGAGGAGGACTTTAAGAGGACGCCTCTGTCCCGGGTGTCTTCCGACAGCGGCCAGCGGCTTTTGCACATGATCGAGACTTTGAAAATGGCTCACCACATGGAGGCTCACAAGAACGGCCACGCCAACGGGCACGTCCGCGGCGGCGGCGAGAACGGCTTCGGCAGCAAGGCGAAGCTCAACGGGGTGCCAAACGGGTTCAAGAAGGAGATGATAAAGATCCCCATGCCAGAGCCGGAGCGCTCGCAGTACCCCATGGAGTGGGGCAAGACTTTCCTGGCTTTTATTTATGCACTTTCTTGTTTCGTCTTTACCACAGTGACTATCTCAGTCGTCCATGAACGAGTGCCTCCCAAGGAGGTGCAGCCTCCCCTCCCAGATGCATTTTTTGATCGCTTTGATCGGGTGCAATGGGCTTTTTCTATTTGTGAAATCAACGGCATGATCCTTGTAGGACTGTGGTTTGTTCAGTGGCTGCTCTTAAAGTACAAGTAAGTAAAACCTTCAGAAAACTGAGTGCTTCTGACAGCTTTTGGAGGGGAGGGGCTGGTTTACATCCAAGTGAAGTGAAGCTTCTTGTGATCTTCTGATTTGGGTTTCCAAAACTGAAATAGGTACCGTGCAGTGCGAGCTGCCTGTGCAAAAGGCAGAAGTTCGATCCAACTGTTCCCTAAGAAACTAAACAATACCCCTGGTTGTGCTTGTCTGCACAACCAACTGCAGCCCTTTTTATGTGGAACTGGGTGAAATATGTTCTGAACTCAGTTGCTTGTTCTGTTTGTTTAGAAGGAGCACGGGTCACACTGTTGTGAGGGCAGCTGCGAACCAGGACCCGAGGGAACAGCTGGAGCTGTGCCAGGGCAGGCTCAGGTTGGATCTCAGGGAAAGGTTCTTCCCCCAGAGGGTGGTTGGCACTGACCAGGCTCCCCAGGGCAGTGGGCACAGCCCCAAGGCTGCCAGAGCTCCAGGAGGGTTTGGACAACGCTCTGAGGGTCAGGGCCAGGAGTTTAACTTGATTATAGTATGGATCCCTTCCAGCTGTGTATATTCTGTGATTCAGTGTCTCTGTGCCTTGCCTGACCTAAAGCCCTACCCTAAAACTCCTGCACAAAAGCAGCAGGTGGGGGATTAGCCTGTGCACCTGAATATTGCTGCGTGAGAAAAGCATTGAGGTGTCTTCTCTTCTTGCCGTTGGGTGGGGCAGGTAACATCAAACACGAGGGATGTCCAACAGCTAATCATAAAATAAGCAAAAGCCTAGATCTGCACTGAATTTGGAAGGTCTCAGTGCTTGTCCCAGCCTCTTGCTCATACTGGTCACAGTTGCAAGGGTGAATTTGCCTTGCAGTGGAATATTAACCTGCCACTTCCCCTCCTCAGAGAGCACGTGGATGTTTAATGCAAGTTATTTATAGAGCTGGAAATGCACACCTTGGGCTGCCTGACCACGAGTGTCTGATGTAAACCCTCGTGCTAAATGAAGTGTTCAAAGTCAGGCAGGTTAAGCAGTAAGAGATGGCATAACACCTTTCCTTTCCACAGCCAGGCACCAGCACAGCCCCACAGTTGCCCAGAGGGGCTTCTCTTCTTTTCTCCTCTGCTAATACATCTCATTCTCTACCTGTTCACTGACTTTTTGGTGACTTCTATGTAGAAAACTGAAGAAGGAACATAATTTGGGCCCCACCATGTGAAATACAAGATCCTTTGGTTCACGGGGCTTGGGAATGGCCTTAGAATTAAAGATTTCCCTTTTTGAAAGAAATAAAGGCAGTGGCCAGTGAATCACTTGCCCTTGTAATGGAGCAAAACATTAAAACTTAAACACAAGCAGGTGGTTCACCCACTTAATGAGGTGCAGATGGCTTAAAAGGAGAGAATTTTTAGCCTGGGGCAGGATGTGTGACACAGCTGTGGGTTCCTGTAGGAATGGGGCAGATTAATCCACGAGACTGAGGTGATGGTTTATTCATCTTTATTTTATCAGGTAAAATTTTAAACTGTTATACACTTGTAAGAGCTCCTGGAAGGGAAGTTGTAGCTTCAGTACCACTCTCCTGTTGGTGGGTGCATTAATTCCTTGAGGTCTCTGAGCAAAGCCGAGGGAAACACCTGGAGAAGGTGATGTGGGATCGCCCTCAAGAAAGAGGTGTGGGGTTAATGGGTGGTGTGAGGGATCAGACACCCTGTGAGGGAGCTGAGCAGAGCCTTTAGGGGAAGAACACCGGAATTCTTGAGGTCCATGGAGGTTTTGTAGCAGTGAGATGTGGGTTGGGTTTGATGGTAAGGTGCATATGTTGGTATCATTGACAGATGTGAAGGTTCCCCCCCCCACCCCGTCCCCACTTGCTTTAGTGTGTTCCTTTTCACCTGCCTTATAGAGACACAGAATGGTTTGGGTTGGAAGGGACCTTAAAGATCATCCCATTCCAACCTCCTGCCATGGGAAGCCCCTTTTAGGGGGCTTTTTCTGGTGTTAGGGGAAGGTGTCAGGGAGTCACAGAGCTTTCCATCCCCAGTATCAGCCCTGGAATAGCTGATCAGTGGTGGTCAGTGTGTGGAGTGGTCACACAATGCTCTGTGACACCATTTAATGCATCGTGACACCAAAAATCTTCTATCCATGAGCAAAGGTATTGAAGTCTGAGAAGCCCAAGCTGTGGCTAAGCAGCATGAGGGGAAGAACAGGAGAGATGCTCCCAGGAACAGGAGGTGGCTTTGGATGGTGAACCACCAAATGGGTGGTGATTTGGGGCTACAGAAAGAGCTGAATCACTTCTGTGGTGTGGGTTATCACTTCCCTTTGACACTTAAGTCAAGATCAAGGGGAGGGCATTAGGCCAGATGGACCTTCCTCACTTCCCTGGCCTCTGTTGGGTCAGGGTTAAGCTTTGCCCCCCTCTGATGTGAAGGTCAGATGTGCAGCCCTGGCTGCTGGGCAGGATGAGACCTGGCTGCTCCCCTGCTCAGGTGACAGACACCAGTCAGAGGTGTCTCCCCTGCAAGCTCAGGGTCACTGGTGAAGCAGCAGCTTTGTGACCTGTGAGTTGAATTGCAACCAGTGGCTGGGTCGAACCTTTCAGGCAGCTTCAGTTTCAGGCTTTTGAAAACACTGTTCTTTGCCAAGCAGTGAAACTCCTGTTGTTTATCCCACCAGATCCATTATTTGCTGATAGTGATTTCATCCAAGCTGAGCCTGCTGTTCTCTCAAGCCACGAAGAAGGACAACAGAGATGTGTCATTCATGATACTCATCACTTAGGTTCTCCTCCTTCAGTCCAGGGATTGCTTGATCCTGTGGGATATGCCCTCCATGTCTCCTCTGTGGGACTGCAGAACTGGGGCCAAATTGTGGGGGGGTGTTGGGTGTGTATGTGCAGCTAACCAGGGGTTCCCACGGCCCCTGGGACAGGCACAGGGTGCCCAGAGAAGCTGTGGCTGCCCCATCCCTGGAAGTGCCCAAGGCCAGGTTGGAGCACCCTGGGCTAGTGAGAGGTTCCCCTGCCCGTGGCAGGGGGATGGAACAAGATGTTCTTTAAGGTGCCTTCCAACCCCAACCATTCTGTGATCCCATGATTCTGAGGCTGTCCCTGGCAGGGAGTTGGGCTGGTTTGTGCCCAGGGATCAGGAGCAGGACGGGGTGTGCAGGTCTGGGCTGGGCACTCACCACCACGGGCAGCCCCAGGAGTCCAGCCCGGCTGCTGAGGCAGAACAAGCCTCTCTGGGAAGCATTCCCAGATGTTCTGGGAGAAGTACAGCATTGGATTTTGGCCATGCTTGACATCTGATTCGCTCATGGGACTGAAAAAGCAGCGTGTGCACTGGTGAGGTCTGGAGAGTTGGAGCAGAGTTGTCTGGGCCGGTAATCGCTGGCTCTAAATCACACACGCACACAAATCCTCTGAGGAAGGGGAAATATGAGGCTTTTTACATTTATTTTTTTTATATGTATTACAGTACAGAGCACTCTCACATTTCCCCAAGCTGAAATATGCCAAATCCATCTAAATTGAATGGGTTTGTGGGTAATTTTAATTAAAAAGAGAAGTTCAGTGTTCGATAAAATGCTGCCACTTTTTCAGGCTCTTAAAATATGGTGCTGCTCAGTCTTTAATCCCCAAGCCCCCTGTTTGCCTTTATGGTTATAAAGAAAGAAGCAGATTCAGGTAGTAAAAGCCAGGCACAAGTGTGAGACCTTCACTGGATCACCCTTCCAGGAGAAAAATTCTGCAGAGGAGAAAACCTGTCCCAACAGCTTGGTGCCTTCCATGCTTAAATTTCAGTCTGTGGAGCTACATTAATAACTGTGATTTTTAATTCTAGTCTTTGTCCATGTTTACATCAGAGGAAAGAAGAAAAAAGGTGGAATACTGTGTTAGAGCAGTGAGCACTCCAGTGCAAAATGTGTTTACCCTGTAAGAGTTGATGCTTTTCTGATAAATCAAGGCTCTCAAGTTGTTATTAATCTGGCACTGCAAAGTCATCCTCCTCCAAGAGTGGAGCTCTCCAGTTTAATAACTCTGCCAAAAGCTATTAAAAATTAAAAAGATGGCCAATTTTGAGTTTTGAAAGAGCTCAGCTTGATAGGAATACTATTTTTTTAAAAAGTGAACACAATAGCAGCAAAGGAATTGCAGTGCCTGAAGGGAGCCTCCAAGAAAGATGGAGAGTGACTATTTCCAAGGGCCTGTAGTGCCAAGACAAGGGGGAATGGCTTTCCACTGCCAGGGGCAGGGTTAGATGGCATATTGGGAAGAAATCCTTCCCTGTGAGGGTGGGGAGGCCCTGGCACAGGTTGCCCACAGAAGCTGTGGCTGCCCCTGGATCCCTGGAAGTGTCCAAGGCCAGGCTGGTCAGGGCTTGGAGCAACCTGGGCTAGTGGGAGGTGTCCCTGCCCATGGCAGGGGGTGAAACAACACAAACTTTAACATCCCTTCCAACCCAAACCATTCTGTGATTCCATGAATGCCAGAAGTTGCAGCTTGAGATGACCATAACTGCAAATAATTATTTAAAATCAAGCAAAACCACCAGGGTCTGTAGAACACAAAGGGTGGTTAACTGCTGTAATTGGATTTGCCCTTGATTTCTGCAGTCCTGGCAGTGATGTCTCTCTAGGGTCTCCCCAGCAGTTGCTCCGGTCCTGGTGGATGTGCCAGAAGGGCTTTAATTGTTGTAGCTCTTTCCTTGAGGTTTTCTTAGCTGTTACCCTGTGGTGACACCCAAAGGGCCAGTTTTGGGGCTGGCTGTCCCCCCTGAGCCCAAGCTGCCTCACTTTCCCTCGTGTGCTCTTGCTGGTTTTGCAGAACCAGCTCTCTGTACCCCAAACCTGCATCTGCCCTGCAGGGACTCACTGGCAGCCCTCAGTAATAAATGTCTTTGCAGCTGGAGAGTGGCTTCCCCTGCAGACACTCTGTGCTGTGGCCAGGGCAGCTCTGTAGGTGTAGTTTGGATGTTTCCTTGCTCCCTTTATAATGCTGCTCAGGAATGATGTGTTCTCACTCCTTCGGGTTATCCAAGCTCTTTCTTCTCAAGAGCCCCTTTGTCATTACGAAATATGTGTGTCAGCTGAAACAAACTTCCTTCTTTTCATCTTAGAATGAAAATACTGTAACTTTATCCCCTGCCTTGAATAGGAAACTGGTGACAGCCCCGCAGCTAATGGAGGAGTTTGGGGCATGAAATCCCTTTTAATGTCTTCAGCACCCAATCTGCACAGGCCTTTGTGTTCTAATCCTTAGATTTCCTGTAATCACCTCCGTGGGTAATGTTACTTGAGTTGCTCTTGTGTTTGTGACCTGGAAGGCGTGGGAAGGTCTGTGGGGCAGTTCAGTGTTCTCAGGTGTAAGCTGATACTGTCACGAGTTCCAAAAGCATCAGAAGAGAACAGTTGGTGGTTTTGTTTTATTTACCTTTTGCGTATTTTGTTTGCCTTGTGTGACCTCCTTATTTTTATCCTCTTTTTTTTTTTTCCCCCTCCTAGGTCTATAATTAGCAGAAGATTTTTCTGTATAGTTGGCACACTATACCTGTACCGGTGTATTACGATGTATGTGACCACGCTCCCAGTACCTGGAATGCATTTCAAGTGTTCTCCAAAGGTAAACTGCTTCTGGCTGCCTTTCCAGATTTTAACCTGCGTGTTTCCCACCTGTCCTGCTCTTCCCAAAACTACCAGCAACGCTTTCTCAAGAGTTGTCACTAAGGGAGGGGATTCTGCCCCTCTGCTCTGCCCTGGTGAGACCCCACCTGCAATGCTGTGCACAGTTCTGGTGCTCCCAACACAAAGAAGGACATGGAACTGTTGGAGCAAGTCCAGAGGAGGCCACCAAATTGCTGAGGGGACTGGAGCACCTCCCCTGTGGAGACAGGCTGGGAGAGCTGGGAATGTTCAGCCTGGAGAGGAGAAGGTTGTGTGGAGACCTCACAGCACCTTCCAGGGTCTGAAGGGGCTACAGGGAAATAGGAGAGGGGCTGTTCATTGGGAACTGGAGTGACAGGACAAAGGGGAATGGCTTCAAACTGAAAGGCAGTAGGTTTAGATTGGATGTTAGGAAGAAATCCTTCCCTGTGAGGGTGGGGAGGCCCTGGCCCAGGTTGCCCACAGAAGCTGTGGCTGCCCCTGGATCCCTGGAAGTGTCCAAGGCCAGGTTGGACAGGGCTTGGAGCAACCTGGGCTAGTGGAAGGTGTCCCTAATCTTTAAGGTGCCTTCCAACCCAAACCATTCTGTGATTCTAATTTGAGAACACTGGTTTGGCCTGGCAGGGACATCCTCCTGCAGATCATTGGCTTCCCTCTTGGTGGAGGTGTTGACAGGTGCTTTGGGGCAGTGCAGTCATTCCCACCCTTTTCAAAATGCTGATTTCTGTGGCATTTTCAACTAATTTGCAGGATCAGCAATTTTCTGTCTCCACCAAAGCAGTTGAAGGTGTGCAACCTGCAGGTGTGCCACGTGTGACTCATTTATTTCTAACCACCTCAGCATGTCAAATCCAAATATGATTTGTGTTTGAAAATGGCCCCACGAGGCTTTTCTGAGGCTGGTGGAACTCTGTCTCCTGCCTATATATATATATTTTTGCAGTTGTGGTAGCACAAGGGCTTGTCACCTCCTCCCCAGTGTAGCACTGACTCGTGTTTGTTGTGCCAACAAATAAACTGGGCTTGCAAAAGCCGTGGATGAAACCAGGCTACTGGGACAGAGGTGCTTGGACAAGACCCTTCTGGTCAGCCTGGAAGGGTGATTCAGCTGCTTGGGGTGGAGATGGGACAGGGGTGGTGGTGTTGCATCCATCTCATGTCACCCAAAATATCTTTGTGTGCACAGCCATAAATTAAGTAGTAAAATCCTGCTGTGGCTTGGGGCACGTGCTGCCGTTGTTTTGGTGAGGATTGGCAGGTACAGACAGAGCTGAACTGCTGCAGTTCCCCAGGGAGATGAAGGCAGTGAATGTACTGACACCAGTGCTTTGCCAAGGCAGAATGCTGGCCAAGCCACATGTGGCTTTTGGAGGGACCCAGAGCTTTTGGAAAGAGAGGAGAGTGGGAGAGGAGTCAACACAGTGTTTGATCAGTCATCTGTTATGAAATTAAAAAAGAACACAGGTGTTTATGGGCTGAAGGGACTAAATTGCCATTTTTGGGAATTTACAGTGTTGGCAAATCCTTCTCATTACTCAAACAGAGACAAGCTTGTGTTGTGCTCCTCCATTGCCCCAGTCAGACTGAGGATTAGCTGGGTTTTCTTGAAAGCTACAAATACACTGGTGGGAAAAGAATAACTTCTCAACACCTTACTAAGTTATATATGATTGTGGAGAGTGGGCTTTGGGGAGCATTTTAATGTTTGTAATGAACAGTTAACAGGAAATGTTTAATTCCTGCAAAGAACCTGCTGAAGTCTGTCAGAAACTATTAATTGCCACTTCTTGAAGTTGGGCACTGTGCTCTGACAAACACCACACATGTTTTTGTTGGACTGTGAGGTGGAAAGAGATTACTTTGAAGACTTTTCCAAGGTGGCCTTTGGGTTTGGAGTGAGATACTCTTCATCAAGTCTTGGTTTCAGCAGCTGGATGTACAATTCATCCTGGTTTCTGTTGGATTGTCATCAGTAGGGCCTGTGCTGTTATCAACAAGATAATTTATTTTAGAGTTGCCTCTTGAACAGAAGGCAAACCTCACGTGAATGCCAGCTGTAATAGGTGCAAAGCATCAATAAAATCATGGCTCATTTCCAGTTTTTTTTCCCCCCTAGAAAGGTGCTGCCAAGTTTGGGGATTTATTTGCTGATTGAACTTGTGAATCAAAGCAGAAAGAGAGAAGAACCAAAAGGCAAAGTTTTTATACCTTTGCTTTAAACAAAGGTTTAAAACCTTTAACCTGGAAGGTTAAAGCTGCTATTTTACTGTGCTTTTGTGTTTTCCTCTTGCACCAGCTTTTTGGAGACTGGGAATCTCACCTGCGAAGGATAATGAAGTTGATTGCTGGTGGAGGATTGTCCATCACCGGATCCCACAACATGTGTGGTGACTACCTGTACAGCGGCCACACCGTCATCCTCACCCTCACCTACCTGTTCATCAAAGAGTGTGAGTGCCTGGCTGTTCATTCCTTCCTAACTGAGGGAATTATTGTCGTGCTCGTTGGTAAATGCAGTTAAAGTTAAAATACGTGCGTTTTCCAGGGTGAGAGGAAATGGTCTGAGGTTGTGCCGGGTAGGGTTAGGCTGGATATTAGGGAAACCCTTCACCACAAGGGTTCTAGTGCTTTGGGGTTGGTTTTTAGTTGGCACTAAAGCTCATTTAGTTCCACCCCCTGCCATGGGCAGGGACACCTTCCACTAGCCCAGGTTGCTCCAACCTGGCCTTGGACACTTCCAGGGATGGGGCAGCCACAGCTCCACTGGACAACCTGTGCCAGGGCCTCCCCACCCTCCCAGGGAAGAATTTTTTCCTAATACCTCATGTAAACACAAATTGATTAATTAGATTGGCCAGGGTATATTATATCTCCTTCCAAGATTTCATAACCTTTGTATTGTCCAAGGATCTCCTTACCCCGACTGCAATTTTAAGCTACACCTTAGGAGAACGGGACTTACTTTGTGATCTCAGCATTCCTGCTCCTGATATTCCTGCAGGATTGCAGTCCGTGACCTCTGCTAATTACAGCACTAGTCTTGATAAAGCTACACTTTGAAATAACCACTGCTTGTGCTTCCTTGCAGATTCCCCACGGCGACTCTGGTGGTATCACTGGCTTTGCTGGGCACTCAGCATGGTCGGGATGTTCTGCATCCTCCTTGCTCATGACCACTACACTGTGGACGTGGTGGTGGCTTACTACATCACTACAAGGCTATTCTGGTGGTACCACACAATGGCCAACCAGCAAGTGAGTTCCTGCCACTCCTGGGGGGCTCCGCCTGCAGTGGGGTGGTGACGGGGAAATATCCAGTAGGAGTGAACCCACCCACGTCCTGCCCTGGGGTTTGCAGGAAAGAAAGAGGCATCATGGGTTGGGTTCTTCTTGTGTCTTGACCACAGAGAGATGTGAAGGCCTACCCAAGGCAGGCAGGCCTCTGCTTTCCCCTGGATTAGCCTCAGTTTTTGAAATCCTTCTGAATTTGGGCTGGTTTGGTGTTAGCAGAGCAAACCATTTAGATATGGTGGGGTTCTTTGCCTTGTTTTTTTGTTTGTCTGTTGAGGCCAGCTGGGTTTTCCTTGTATTCTGTGGCTTGTGCCCTTTAGTTTGATGACAGGCCTCTTGAGGAACAGTATAAGAGCATCACTAAAAATGAACCAGTTTTTTTTAAATGTGTCCAAGTGGTGGGAAGTTCTCCTGGCCAAGGGAAATGTCTTCCTTTTGAAGGGCAGTGCAGCTGAGAACAGGCTGCTTCTGACCTAAGGCCCATGTCTGGGAAAACAGGGTGATGAGGGAAATACTGAGAACAAGGAGCTCCTGAGGAGGAGACACAGCACTTGATGATTTTACTCAGTCAGAGAGGAGCTGTAAAAGGTTCATCAAAGGTTGACTAAAGAGGATTAAATGATGTCTCATGTTATTGTCATTGTTTTTCCCTGCCAGTGAACTGGAGCAATAAGAGAGGAGCTTGCAGGGCTGAGGAATGTGAAACCTCCCCTGCTGTGTCAAGGGAGGATCTCAGGGAAAGGTTCTTCCCCCAGAGGGTGGTTGGCACTGCCCAGGCTCCCCAGGGCAGTGGGCACAGCCCCAAGGCTGCCAGAGCTCCAGGAGGGTTTGGGACATGGTGAGATTGTTGGGGTGTCCTGTGCAGGGCCAGGAGTTGGAGTGGATGATCCCTCTGGATCCCATTCAGCTCAGGATACTGATTCTTTGAGAGAAGATTTACAAATCTCTGCCACAGGTAACAGACAGAGTGAGTTAAGAGAAGCTTTTAGGTCTTCTACAGCATATTGGTGTCCAAATATTTTCTGTGCACTTGGTGAAAGATTTTTTGCTTGTGTGTTGCACATGCCTCCAGTTAATTATGTTTAAGAAAGACCTACTGTGATGATAGGAAATGAGTTAATATTGTGACAGTCCAGAGTTTTAGATCGTATCATAGAGTTATTATAGAATGACCTGGGTTGGAACAGACCTGCAAGATCATCTAGTTCCAGCCCCCCTGAAGGCCTTCTAGCTACAACTCATTCATTGTTCCTCTGGTTTTGATGTTACTTGAAGCAATCACCACAGTCAAGCCCCGTGGTATGTTTTTAGCCCAAAATGCCTAATTGCTGATTAGATGCACTTTGCTCAGTCAGTGTCCAATAGCAACCTGTGCTCAGACTCTGTACCTCTTGTCATACAGCACCAGATGGGCTTCCAGGCTTTGAATCTGCTCCTGGGCTCTGTTAAAGCAGGTGCTGGGTGGTCATGCTTCCAAGCTGGAATTATTGGAGTCAGGATTACCCTGAGTCCTAATGAGGACTTGCTTCAGCAGAGCCCTTTGCCTTACTGTGTGGAAACATGCCTGTTGTGCTGCATGGTGTGATTCAGAAGGTGGCTCAACATTGCTTCCCCGAGCTGCCGAGATGTTGGGAAATGCCAGTCCCTGGATCCTTTCCTGAGCACACCTTTGTGTGCTCACCTCTCCTTCCTCATGTGCACAGGGCTTTGGCTTCTGTCTGACCTTCAAGTTAAAAGCAGAAGTGGATTTATGTTATGTGTGAGCTTGACATGGAGATAGAGCTCAGTGTACCAGCCCGGTGCTTGCACTTTGCCATGGGCAGATTCGGTGATTCCCGGCTCTGGTGTTGAAAACATGCAGCAGGGTGGTTGGATAACTCCCTGGGGGCCTGCCCACTCCTTGTGTCTCAACTGGGGCTTGCTCGTGGCTAAGAGAAGGAAAAGGGTGGGTGGGAGCAGTCTGGGAGCATGTGGAGGGCAGGGCTCCTGACCTGCTCTGAGTGGGTTGAGGTGTGCCTTGCTCACTGCCTGGGAAGTTCCAAAGCCATTCTTGAGCTACATGGAATTTCAGAGATGCTTATGGTAACAACTGTGCTTTGGGTTGGGTTTTTCATTCCCAAGGGAGAGGAGAGACTGATCTTTGGGCCGTTCATGTTTTTTTTTTCCCCGAGGGCCCATCGAACAACTGAGGTCTTGGAAACGCCGGTGAACCTCACTGGGGTGTGTGCAGGGAGGCTGTGGAAGAGTAGCTTGGCTTCTCCTGACCTTTGTCTGCGCAGCTCTGTCTGGGAGGTGTTTCTGGGAGCTGTTTGGGAGCAGCGGTGACGAACAGGACCGACGAAGCCGTGCGAGCGAGCGCTTCCTAATTCCTTCCTAACTCTGCCCTTTCTCGTTCTCTCTCTCGGCGCAGGTGCTAAAAGAAGCTTCCCAAACTAACCTCCTCGCAAGGGTCTGGTGGTACAAGCCCTTCCAGTACTTTGAAAAGAATGTCCAAGGCATTGTACCTCGCTCCTACCACTGGCCCTTGCCCTGGCCGGCGCTGCGGCGGGGCCGGCCGGTGAAGTACAGCCGCCTGGCCAGCGACACGTGACGGCCGGTGCCGGGGGAAAGGACCTGGCCCAAGTGCTCACAACTCCCTGAGAGAAGATGCCATAAGAAAAAAAAAAAAAAAATTATATTAAAAAAAAATCAACTGCTCCCTAACCCCCTCTCTTTTAACAGCTCCCCTCGACTCGACCCATTCAGTTACCTGGTAAGCACTGTGATCTTTTTTTTTTCCTCTCCAAAGGATCTCTGCGTTGGACAAACAATAAAGAAAAATTTAACTTATCGTGCACTGTTACACATTTCTCGTTGATAGATTTGGGATTTGCATTTGCCCATCGCCATGTTCCTTTGTATATGATGCGACAACATAAACGAGAGCTTTTATATCATAAGTTCTGGTCTTTCCAGTCACGTCTGGGAACAAAGCATATTATTTTCTTGGGAAAACATACTTTTCATATCTCTTGCCCCAAAGATTGGGCTGTAAGCCATTTTCTAGCAAATGACTATATGAAGGTTTCTAAATACCTGCCTTGGGTGAAATCAAGAAATCTTTCTACCTGTTGCACCGCGCTACGAATAAGATGATAGACACAGAAAGGTTTGGTAATCCTGATTTTGTAGAATCTGCAGTGACTGACTGTGTCAAAAAGTGCAAAAAAAAAAAAAAAAAAAAAAAAAAAAAAAGAAAAAATGTAAAGTGATTTTCTAAGTATTTCCTAACTTTATTTTTCAAAACGTGTATGAAAAAAAAAAATTAAATTTAAAAAGATTTTTACATGTCAGAGAATAGAGAGTTAAAATTTAAAGAAAATGCTTCTTGGGAGAGAGAGATTTGTCTATGTTTCTAGTGCCTTTCTTGTCTTGATTGTATGGTCAGTAGGCAGTCTTAAATGTTTTTATTTAAAATAAAGTATTCCATGAAAGCAGAATTATATATACTATATAATTACTAATTTTTGCATTTATAGCTAAATTAAACTGGAAATTTGCTTATAATGTTGAAATTGCCATGTGTAGGGAAAAAACCACCCCACCAAATAAAAAGGGTCCGATCTTGTTCACACATTGTGGGCAGGTCAAGCTAAAAAGTATCACTTTATTCTTGGTAGCTGGATTTTAACAAGTAAAACAGCCATGAATTCCTGTTTTTTAAGAATTTTACAAATGATCACTGAGTGAACTACGTATAGTTTCTCCATCCCCTTTTGCAGTGTTGTTGGAAAACAACAAAGATAATCTATTTCTTTAAAATATTTGTGCAGAAACTGCATGTAATTCTGAGTTTCACTCCTACCATACATACTGTATGTCTGGGGAAGTATCCTATCCTAAACTTGCCAATGTGCAGAACAAAAATAGTTTTTTTTTTAAAAAAGAATGAAGAAGAGAAAAATATATATATAAATATATATATATCCATTCTGTATTTTACGTGAAGCAGAGTTATCTTCTGTAGGTTTTTTGTGTATTCACAAGGTGATATTTGTATTGTAAAACAACAATGGTGAAGGAAAATAAAAAGGCTTTTGAAACGTGTAGTTTCCTTTATCTTTTTAATGTTAAGTTGAAAATTTAAAGCTGGGTTTATTCTTCCAAACCTTGCCTTTAAGTTGATGTTATTGCACTGTAGGCCATCCGATTTGGACTGTATGGAAACTGCATTGATTTCGAATTGCTGTTGGGCAAAACAGTGCCTTATCTGAAATAAATGCTATGCAATCGATTCCGAGCGTGCGGGAGCCGGGGGCGGGTCGGGAGGAGCCTTCCTGGGAGCCATCACCAGGCCTTGAAAAATCTACCCCAGAACTGCTGGGATGGAGCACAGGGCAGGGGGAGCATCGGCCACTGCCCCAGGGTCTGTCAGTCCTGGCGCTTGAACGCCAAAAAAACAAAACAAAAAAGGAAAGAAAAGCAAATTTCTGTGAGTCCGTGGTGGTGAAAGTGTCATTTCTTTCTTCTTTACTTTTCTTTTTTGGGGATGGTTTATCTCGACTTCTCTGCCCTGTTCCTCAACCTTGGCCAAAAACTTCCCTGAGGAGCTGATGGGGTGTTGCTTCTGCTGGTTGTGGCTTGGGATGCTAAACAAGACCAACCCGTTCCTTATCAGTTCTCTGTCTCCCTGGGTGGGAGGGAGGGAGGGGGTTTCTTGGCCAAACCCTTTGCAACAGCATTTCCAGAGCTGCCTGAGAATTTAGGGCTCAGCTCTGCGTGCTTTGCCTTCAATTCACAGCTTTATCTTGGCAACTCTGGGGTTCAAAGTCACTTTTCAGAGGTGATTTTTTGAGGGAATTCCCACTCCCAGATGGAAAGGAGGAGTAGGTTTTTCAAGGCCTGGCATCACGCACATCCAAACCATTGGCATAAGTAAATGTATGGATATATATGCACATGACATTAAATGGAATCTGCTGAATCCTGCATTGTAGTGTCTGACTTACTGCATGGATGCTGCTCCCCGTGGTCCCAGCTGTCCCAACACCCTTGGTGTTGCCTTGGGAGAGGAGTCTGGGTGAGCCGGGGCAGGGAGCTCAGCGCCGTGGCCTTGTGCTGGAGGAGGGGACCCAGGGAATGCTGTGCCTTGGGGGCTGATCCAGAGCTGTGCTGCCTTGTCCTTCTCCTTCCCGGGGCGGATCTGCTCGGCAGCACCGTTTTTCCTCAGATGGGCAATGGCTTGTGATGGTGCTCCTTGTTAAGCATTGCAGTAATGACCTGGGACCCCAGATTTCCCACTTCAGCTGGATTTTTTCCCCCCCAAACCTCACAGGTATGGTCCATCTACAGTGATTCATGCCTGGTGTGTCCTTGCCCCGAAGCATGGGAGGTTTTTTGCTGACAGCTCTGCTCAAAAATGTTATCTCCTGCCATCGGGATCCTATGTGCTGGTAAAAAAGGACTTTGGCCTTTAACAGCATTGTAACAGGCCTTTTAATTGCTGTGAGGGCTTTGGGGGCTGTCAGGATTATGTGATCCTCCCAGGTCTTCTGGGTTTCTTTAAAAAAGGAAATTTCAGTCCCTTCGTTACCCATCAGAAGGGTGGTTTTGTTTCAGAAACTTACAGAGAAGGTCGTGGTCTCCTGTGTGTTTATAAGGGAAGAGTTTCGTTTTACCTGATCCCAGTTTCCATGGCTTGCACGAAATGAGCTCTCCAAGAGACCAGGAAATGCTGGTTTTAAAGTGAAATGTGGATGCTGGAAGAAAGGGTCGCTTTCCTGAAATGATCTGGTCTTGCTGCGGAGGAATGAGAAACTGAAAAGTAAGGAGCAGAAAGGAAAGCAAATGCTTCATGGATTTACATTTCAGAGCCAGTTCCCTTAATTTATTTTTTTTTCCTAGGGGATCTTAGATAGAGGGAGTTTGAATCCTCTTTCTTAACCATTTGGAAGCACAGTGTTTGCTGTATGAGGAAATGCACATTTGGCAGTCTGTGTTTACTGGTTTTCCTTCTCTCAGCTTTGCCTTGTTCCTTCAGTGGATCCATTGGTCCTGAGTGGCTTTAGACGTTTTTCTTGTCAAAAATGAAAATCCTGTGCTGTTTGCAGTCCCTGGTTGTGCCTGGGAAGGTCACAGATTGGTGTCGTGTGGTAGCAGTGATGGGTAGAAACCATTTTTCAGAAGGATAAATATTTTAAAGAAAACATAACTTTCTTTAGTGTCTTTTAGCACAAAATGGCAAGGGGAAGAAGTTGGAGGACTCTTGGTCTTGGGAAAGAGGATGATCTGTGGGAACCTTTAATCTTACGAGAAGGAAACTTGGCGTGTTATGATGTCACACGAGCACAGACTGATGTCCAGGGCCAGGCTGTCCAGGCATGGCAGGACAAGGACCTCAAAGGAAGTAATTTTTCTGGGGGTCTGCATGCATTTAACAACTGTACCTGCTTTCAAATCCCACATTTCCTCCCACCCCAGCATGGAGTATAATTTCAGGGATGCCCTGAGCCCTCCAACCATGGCTGCTGTTTCTTCCCAAGCTCCAGTTTCCTTCCAGCCTGGATCTACAGAGTTCTGATCTCAACCATCAGAGGTTAATGAGCAGATCCCTGAGCATCCTGCCCCTGACAGGACAGCTTTTCCTTGGAAGTTTTATTTTCCAGGCTAGGTGCTCCGGTGTGGCTGCTTTGGGGTGAGCATCGTGCCTCTGGTGGGACCGCTGTCCTTCCTCGTGGTGGCCAAACTGGTGACCTGTCCCAGGGGGAAGACATGAGGTGCAGAAGCCAGGTGCATTTCCAGGACTTCTTTGGGGCAGTTTGTTCTTCCTCACTAGGTTGACAGTGGCTCTGAGGAACCTGTTGTGCTGCTGTGTGATGATCTCTGTGTGCTCCACCCGGCACCATCTCGGTAATCCACCATCTCTGGAGGGAGCAGTTCACATTTCCCACAGGCAGGGAGGGATTCCCCAAGCCCTCAGCACTTCACCTGAGGTCTTTGCAGTGCTGAAAGTCCCTTTTCTGCACCCGAGGGCTTGTTGCTTCCTGCAGTCCTGAGCCAGGGCGTGTGGACATGGGCACATCAGCCGGGGGAGATGGGGAGCTGTGGGTCCCCATACCCTCACATAGCAGTCTTTTGAAAAGGAAAACAATTGAAAATATTCCCCTCAAACGTGTTTTGAGCTGTCACCAAACTTCCTTTTCCTCCTCTGCCCCAACCAACAGGTGGTTTGTTCTCTCTGGAGTTACAGAGCCACGGTGAGGCCTTTTCCTCAGCTCCCTGCAGTCCATGGGGTGAGGCTGGCAGGACACACCATCACTGTGGCAGTTCATTAAAACTCAATTTCCTGGCTTTTCACGATGATCTAGCAAATGTATCACCAACGAGCCAGTGCACAGCCTATTCCTGGCTCATCCCTGTGCCAGGACCTTTCCTGTGACAGCAGAGCAGCTGCTCCATGGTTTTGTCAAACGAGGCTCTTCGCTTGCCTTCAAGGCCAGCGCAGGATTTGGGGTGCCCTCGTGACTCAGACGTTCCCAGCAGCACAGTGGTGCCCAGGGGTATCTGGCACCCCACATGGCAAAGCAGGTGGTTTCTCCACCGGTGTCAGGGGCAAGCAGGATCCCTGGGAACTGCAGTGAGGAGATAAGGTATCAGTAAATCCCATTTCTTCCAAGCAGCCAGTCCAAAAATCAGCGAGTCAAAGGGCGATGCTGAACATGACCCTGGAGTGGTGACGCAGACCCTGCTCAGCACCAGCTGGAATGTTAACCCTTGGACTGGGGGTGCACGAGAGAAAAGGGGATGAAAGAGGAAAACTGAAACTCCCGAGTTGGGATGGAAAACGTCAGA